GATTGGTGGCCAAATGATGGTTAATCAGGGTGCTTCGCGCTACCACGGTAGGCTCATGTTTACAATAAACTTTTATATACGCGGATCTGCGACCGCTCTAGACCAGTGACGGTGATTTCCAGTAGGCTGAGGATGTGACTTCTAACTGCGCATCAGGTACACAAGTCACTCATGGAGGTTTACTTGGTGGCCAGCGCCGAACAAATTTTTTTGAGTATCGAAACGGCTCCACTCCTCGATTTCCCCGATTCTTTCGCCACATGCCCCAACTGGCCGCGCAATCAGCCGGAAATGTCCTCATCGATTCTACCACTTAAACTTGGGTTACCGCGCTCAGCGTAGCTGTCTCCACAGCTACAGCTAACAACCTATAACCAATGGCGTCTTAATCGAATACAAGTGTATTGCTGACATGGGAAAACGTAGTTCTGCTGCATTGTATGCACTTTTCAGTGAGGTTTTTACATGTTTACGGTGACTTTCATATAGTGGTCGCTCATGAAGTGCAACACAATAAAGACCGGCTTTTTAGCCAGTTGGCACTCGATGTTGTCCGATAATAATTATTTAGTCTTTTGTAAATTGTAATGGACAGATGTTGGACTGTAGTGTGCTGAAAAGCCCATTTCTATCTGCTTTCACTATGCTTAGGATGCAAATCTTGTGTGTTCTATATAATAATGGTGGAACAAGATAGCGTTTGTGCTCTACTGGGGAAATTCTCTTACCATGCAAATACTGACTTGTCTTGGCTGACTTTCCTTTTGTGTCCTATATCGTTAGTTGTTTGCTTGTGATTGATAAGCCTGCACGAAATGGACGAGCTATTTCACAACGTGAGTCCCCTAAATTTCTCGTCTGAATTAAAAGGAAAATTGCAAGTTCCATATGTTCTAAATGGGGATTAGCTGCTCTCGATATGAAAAGGCTTCACTGACTGGTGAATCTGCGATGTAACCTGGCGTCCGAGGCTATTCGACTGGGTTTTTTGGATCCGTGTATTACCGACAACCCTTACCCAGATGATTTCACGAGGCGAATATGGAATGGCTCGTGTGTCCAAATGTTAAGCGTGTCCTTCACACGAATGTCTGCAGACGACGGAAGCAATGATGCTGCCTGGAATCCCTATTCGACCGGGACAGAAGGTGGTGGTGGGTTTATCTGTGACGTCGAATAAGGTTGCTTACTCAAGGTGGATTACTATAGTGCTTATTTAGTAATCGATTTACTGGCTAGTACGATCACAGACGCAGTACTCATCAAACTCAGACATCGTTTCTCTTGGCATAGAATACCGGAGGAGATGGTTCCCAGTTTATCAGAGCTGTTTTCCAGGCCTTCGCAACCAAGTGAGTATTCATGCACCAGCAAACCAGCCAACCAAATAGAATGGCCAAGTGACCCTTGTCAAAGGTTGGAGGTATTGTTGAAGTTTCCTACTTTATGCTACTGGAGAATCGCAACATCCCTTCAGCGAATATCAGTCAGTGCACAGTGCAGTCGAAGGACTAAGATTCATATGCCGGCATCGGCCACAACATGAGAACAGTTTAAGAAGAAGAAGAAGACGACTAAACAGTACTACGACCGAGGTGCACAGGCACTACCTGAACTGATAGTTAGGGAGGAGGTAGGAGTACAACCCGTACCCGATTATCAAGAGTGGTGAACGAAAGGTATTGTGAGTGAGAAGATCGGTACATGGTTGTAGGAAATAAGTGTTGGATTAAAGACGCTCAGAAGAAATGGAGTACAGTCGAGACAACACCGGAGACGACAATGTGGATTGGGAGCGGAACGCCCTATAGTGTGAGACAAAGAGGCTTCTGAGGTAGAAACGGTGTAAACGACGGGGGGATGACAAAATGTATGGAGCGCCTAACAATATGGAGGAACAAAGATACGAGAAAAAGGAGGGTGTGGGAACAGTTTTATATCAGGGTAAACGGAAAAATCAAATGTGTGAGTGAGACAAACCATAGGAGACTGATATAACACATTCGATCACTGGAAACGGATTGGCCGATGTTCGTGTGGGTTCCTTGCCGTTAAAAGCGGAAATCAATCGACTCATAAGAGTCGTTACTTATGGAAGTAGACGGGCAATACATATAAAGGAGTTTGGCGTGGCAAGCACTGCAAATTTTTACTGAGTTGACTTTGCCGAATAACCGTTTGTCCCGGAAGCACTCAGTTCTGCAACAGTTAGGCCCCTCTTTTTGATGTATACTGCATATGACGTAAGTGCTGGGAAGCAACAACGCCAAAAAGCGTTTAGAAAATGTCTTTAAAATACCTGTTGTTGAACACTTCCTTATAACTCGATTTCGAGATGAATTCTTGACCCATGCAGTTAAGATAAACGAGTGGCTGGGTTTGAAACATTCGAAGCATTTAGGAATTTTTAGGCAATTAGTTCCTTTTTGTATATGGCAGCCAAGCAAAGACCTGTGTAGAGTTGCCTTTCAATCGTGACTTCCCCACACTGAAGACCAACAAACTTTTAATTTCTGCTACGCAGAGTAGTTACTATGCTGCTCATGCTTTGGTCATTAACTGCACTGGTAATTTGCTTAATACTCCAAAACGAAGGAAACTCAGCCAATCGGGGCCAATTCACTCTGTATATATTTGTATGAGTTCGGATCCGGTTACAGAGGCAGAACTGATCGGTCTTTGACCTCGGGAATAAAGCAACAGGTGTCTAAGCGAATTCAACGTGAAATTGACCAGTATTCCTGCCCCTTGAATCATCGTGCCCACGCAGGACACCAGCTTCCTCAGCAGGTGAACATCTCTTGTTCACGCAACATCGGATGCAGTTCGGAACAGCGTTCACAACCGTGTTCAGTCACTCTAATCCAGGCCTCCCCCATTTTGTGGAGGCTGTGGGAATTAATCGGATAACACAGCGCCATGTGTTCAAAAACAATTATTAATGGCCTCAAGGCTGCCATGGACATTTTGCACCGCAAGCTTGTTTGGATACACATTTAGTTATATACATATATATATATATATATTTGCAAATTGGTGATTGTTAACGGTGCTGAGGAGATAACACGGAATGGATGCATCTACCAGCTTTCGTCTTCTTACCGCATGTGAAAGCTTTCTGGTTGAGACAATACTAATAAAACAACTTGGCATTTTGTCTAACCACACTGTTGTCCATATGAAGCCTGTTCGAGGTCCCATTATTGTTTCTCTAGTGCTTACGTTTGGTTGATGGGATGGTTTTGCTGTCATCTATCAGGATATTCCTACCGACAGAACAACAGTTGTCCATGCGTTTCCACAGATCATTTCACCTTGTTATGCAATGCTGTTGATGCTACCACATAAACTACTACAGTATCCGACGCAACGATCAACCGGGCTGCAGATACCGCCTTCAGATTTGGGTGCACCACTATGAGCTTGTTAGTTTGTTGGACAAAATGGAAACGCCAAGCAACCTTGGGTATCCATTCACTGTACGGAGAAATCTCTACTCTGTTTTACGAAGCTCTAACAGCAGCAGTTGAGAAAAGTTGGTCAGTTATCCGTTGCATTGTAATTGTAGTAGACATATTTCAGCTGGATGGATCCCTAGGTTCAGGTGTTTCGCATGGGATATTCCGCTACTTAAGTCCTGTAACAATGTCATCTGTAATAGTCTGAAGTACCTAATTTTCTCCAGATTACGGATATCGAACATTGACAGGGACCGTAAAACCGCAATATCTAATACCAGTCTTTTAATCTAATTGTATTGACGTGTTAGAATTACTATGAAGAATGTGGCAGTTCAACCATGTTTACGAGATTCGACTTTTTTACATGCAAACCTACGATTTCTGACGTGACGATTGTTCCCGGCCACTATGGCATCTAAAAGAGAAATCACTGAGTTAAAAGGCGAATTGGCCGAATCCGGTGTCCAGATGTGTCTACCTAATAAACTTTGTGCTAGTGTATTTGATTTCCATGATACCGCAATGACTATTTTTTGAATCAAAACAACAGATGATGATATGCTGCCCTGTTACGATACTTGCTGTATTCTTCTCTTATATACAAAAATTTGAAGTAGCCGGAGACTATAGATTTTCGGGGTTTTTTTTGGAGCACCCGCCGTGTGTTTTGGATTGCGACGTGACTAATGAATTGCCGTAATACCCATCTGGAAAGTACAGTGGACTTATGCCGAGAGAATAAATCGCTTGATAGTTGAGTGACGTTTGTGCATTTTACTGCTCTAAAGACCTACTGTTAATATCCAATAGCTGAAATATGCTTAGAACCGATTGAGAATTCAAGATTTCAGAAAGGTCTGAAAAATACCGGATGGTGTAATTGGTGAGTAACGTTTCTCTAATTGCCACAAATAGTTCGTCAAGCGAAAGCTACCAGCGGGTGATTGGTGTGATATTTATGCAAAACTGAGACAATAACCCCGGTGACTGAGATTCCAGTAGAATGGTAATCATGTTACGGGTCAAAGTGTTATTTAAATTGGCACACCAATGATCCCATGTGGTTCATGGTACAAGATCACCACATATACGTCCCTGCCAGAGAGGAGTGGTTTGATGTGATCAGGTAAACAGCATTAACATCATACCACTATTAGACCCATAGCTGATATCATACAATGAACCGCCTGGGACCCATAACGTGCCACTTGAAATGACACTGGCCCGTCAGCTCGTGATCAGAAGTAACCAATGCATTTGGTTTCGAAGGACCAATTGCACCGGAGATGGGCAATTCTGCCTCGATATCTCCTTTTGTGTTCAACCAGCCACGCATACAAACCAATCACTAGAACTAAATGCAGGCTAACGGTTCCCGAAAGCGTTGGTTACAGAAGCTGAATATGAACAATGCACCACAAAGCACACTAGAATCTACACACCACAATCTTTATGCTATAACTCGTTCCTCTGCAGACCACGGTGTAATGTATGTGATATAAAATATACAAACTGGTCCGCAAAGATAAGGACAGAATAATAGCTTTATAACTGTCTTTTTCGACCAAGCAGCTTTACTGAACTCAAGTGTCATGGAATGTTGTGAAACTTCTGCAACCGGCATGTAACCCGTTCCAATAAGTACGAGTGACAGCGGAAACTATGTCCGCGATGATGCTTGGCATGAATGAATCCATTGGGTTGCTTCTAGAGTTATCCATTTCGATACAATAAGAGGATGGGAAAAACGATTGTGACACTTGGTTGTCGAAAAGGCAGTGGCTGTTTTAGCCAATAGCAAACGAGAAACGGACATAATGAAATGTCAATTATTTGTTACAGTCTTTACATATGAGTCTGTGCTGGGTTGATAGATTTTCATTAGGTACTTCTTTCTTCACTAATCCGCATAAATCATTATTGAGACACATCGTGCCAGCCTTTGAAAGCGAATCAGGCAGGATTTTTGAATAGGGTAATGTTAAGTAGTGAGTTGCTTCCAGTGGACGTTCCTTGTGTGCTACGGGACTTTCGAACGATAAGTGAAATGAAGATGGACAACTGGAAGTAACCAGTGTTGTTTGCCTTTCAAGCATATGAAGAGAATTTGCATTTTTCCGTTCACAATAGAGACACCGAACGCGTCCCTCCCTTGATGGCACGGTTCTCTTGCGGCACAATGATTCGTTCCCAAACAAACACTTGTGGTGAACGCAGGCCCAAGTAATGGTTGCACTGAGGGCCGTAGCAACACAAATAATCATGGTTAAAATCCAAACCATGTTTGTTAGGTTTGCCGTGGGTTCTTCCTGATTTTCAGAAAGCCGAGGTGGTCCGAGTGAATTTTTCATTTGTGCACGATCGCTGCAGAGGATTCCTTGCAGATGGATGGCAAATAAAAAGTAGGGAACAATATGTATGTTATTCATGGACAAAAGCAGAAATAACGTGCTGTTGCATATTGCAACGTCCAACCTCAACATTTCGATTACGATGTTTTGTCAAACACTTCCATCAAATGAAATTAAAAATGTAGTGTTTTCCTTAACCCAACGTGAGTTTCACCAAGCAAACGCGTCCCACTGGAAATAATCATAAATGACCGTGCCACACGATTCCACCATATATAATCCTTCTCTCACCCTTACACATACACACATCACAGTACGACGGGTGACTGCATATTCTGCTATGGTTATGCGTAAACATTCAGGCTCAAGTTTGGTGACCAAATACCATGTGATAGTGTCTTACTGACAGTAACCAATACTTGAGTCGTTCACCATGGTGAGTGCTCCAGTGTTTTAGATGACAGTGTCGACCGGAATCAATGAAGAGGAAGCATGGAATGGATCAATTTTTCAGGAGGGACCATAGGAAATATATATAGGGTAGATCTAAAAACATCCCATAACAGTGGCAGATTTGACCAGCAGATGTTGCGTAACCATTAAGCAGAGTACATAGTTAGTGCTTTCGGGAACAAGCTAGATATCACTACAGCTGTTCGGAATTCTCTGACACATCACTCTAAGGATTTCTTATGGTTTGACTTTTAATCCGATACCTTTTGTAATATATTAGCATGGTGAGCCTCAGCTGCTGTGTAGTGCATTCCCTTATGTAACTGAGCGTTTTGTTCAAGCGCCGAACTTTTACTGAGACCCACACAGGACCATCAACAGAGTCACTAACTCGCATAGTCCGCTATTTCTCAATGCCAATTTAAGGCAATATATATATGTCCGGCATTAATCCTCACCTACCGGGACTAAAATATGCACACCACAATATATGCCACCTTGACAAGAATAAGCGCAAGGTTTATCCAAAGCAAATTGCATGGCATTCAAGACAACGACTTCGAATGCACTCACATTTTATGTCCATAGAAATTAAAGGTAAATGTGACAAACAGCAAGTAGCATAAGTAGTTGTCAGTAACAAGTGTTCGCAGCTGTTTCAATGTGGCAAGAGCTTTAGCTGTCACACATCCTGGGCTTACCATTAAGTTTCGAAATCTTGCAATTCGGGGGAGATGTGCGATACTAAAAAGTTCTATGAGGATGAAATTTTATCCATCTCCGTCCGCATATGTAACTGGTTATCTGACTGAATCTGACCTGGACAACCACCCTCAGAAGGAAACTATGTAAACCGAGACATGCTAACAAAAGCTGCACATCTTCTGTTTATACTATGGGTCGCATTCAGAGAGATATTGAGACATACGTAACTGACTTAAAGTCTGTGGTATACACTTCTGAACAAACGCCGAATCTTTAGGCCGAAGCTGGAACCTCTGAGCATCCACGTAGGATTTCGGCTAGGTACATCGTTCAGTAATAGAAATGCTGATGGGAACAATCCGGTTGCTTACAAGATTGAGACATTGTCGTTTCTTTTTTATTCCAAAGCTCCCAATTGGCACTACAGACATTCCAGTCCAAGGAAAGTACTTCGAGCGATAAGTGGTAACTGCTTGCTGTGAGATAGAAATCAGTTACCATGCGGTCTGCTAGAGATATGAACTACAACTCAAATTAAAGCGCATTTGTCAGGTCAGGTAAAGTGAAGCTACAATTGCAGTATAATGCTCACCTTGTCGGATACCACCATTACACATCCTCAACTGGGCCACCACTTCTGATCCACGCGCTTTGGTCCTGTTACATATGTCAGCAGACAGTGTCGACCTCGTGCTGCAAGTCGAGCCTGAATTAGCAGCGCAATACTGTTCAAGTTTACAGTCGAATTCAGCACATTTGGAATGCTCACCGGTAGCCAGTCCGTTAAGTCTGTGCAACAAAAAGCATGGTAGCCACAAAATCTCTTAATTGTAATTGGTAATTATAATGTCTATGTAAAAAACGGTGTGGTAATTTAAAGTTTAAGTTAGTCTCGTCTTCTTTATCTTTCTTCACATAATTATGTTGTGTTCTGGTAACTGTTAGTCTTTAACTTAAACAGATAAAGCCCTATTTCCTTGCACGTGAGATGAAATAGTAAGGATACCAGTCATCTGTGACATAGTACTAAGACGGTTTAATGTTTAGTTCTTTGATATATGGAGGTACTGAACTCTGAAACATTATAAGTTTGCAGCAGTTTAGAGAGCGGTCAGTGACAGCTTGTGAACGTGTGCTCGCATTATGAGGCACGATACCAAAAATATTAGGTATATTGTCTGTCTTAAAACAGAAACGAAACCTTTTAATAGATGTATCATTTGTTGACTAAGCGTCAAGTAAACACCTTTTCCATGTGATCGCCTTGAAGGTGTTTTGCCCTTTATATGAATAAAAATAGTTCTTCCAAAATTTCCGTTAATACAGTCATCAGAGTGAAAATTTAATTTAACTTTATCTTCAAAGATCTCTTTGTGTCAATAACCCTATTTTTGATGAGCTAGCGGAAAGGTGTTTCGGTTCAAACTGGATAGAATGCGACTGCGAATCGTTAGTGACAGGCTCATCGCATCCGTGTATTTTTAGATTACAAAAGATTATGTTCACATATCCTAAAATTTGTATAAGTATTATACCTTATAACAAGAGCTAGTGCACTTTGGATAAAAATAATATGTAATCTTTGCAACATTTGGAAGCTGGAATTAGTCATGCTAGGTAAGCCCACAAGCTGTAACTCCCTTCGCCTGATCAAACACACAAAAATAACCACATCAATGTAGCTTTCACATAGTTGGCTGGAAGCAAAAAATCATATACTGAAAGCTAGGAACTACTTCGCTTTTTTGCCAAAGCAATCGATGGGTTCAAGCTCCATGATGTCCATTATAAAGATTCGGTATTTTCCAAAGTAATGACAGGACGTCAGATATTAGGTCCACACTGCCACCAACAGTAGACTTCACTATTTGATGCTCCGCTCACGACTTGCGCCGGGTGAATGGAAAATTGTGAAGCGCAAAATATCAACGGTTACACAATTGAATTGAATAAGTGAAGTTGCTGTTACTTTAATCTAAAACTTTACAACTGAAGTACACACTTATAGACTGGTCACTTTGATAGCACTTGCAAACGGTGCAGAGTTATGGTCAAGTATAGATAGATTCCTGTCAACTATTTACTGTAAATACTCACCCGTCAGGATTAGTATTGCACTCATTCTTTAACACACTCCAGTAACATTCTGGATCCCGTAGCTTCATACATTCCCTGAAAGGCAGAAGGTTCATTATCATCGTGCTTGGACATGTATGCACTCGCTTAGCCTTATCAAGTTGAACGTAGGCACGATACAACTTGCGATCAGTTAAGCTAGTTCATGTGTGCTTTTTGATGCGCAATTTGGCCAACTTAAATAAAACAACACATCCACCCTCAATGCTGTGTCAGGTGATGCTGTTGCATTTGAGCTTCTTAACACAAGCGCCGGTGAAGCATACTCAGAAGCCGCAGTAGGACAGGAGATTCGTCGGTGACTAAGAAAAAGAGGTTTGTAATGATGTTTTGAGAACGCTCACCCACATCAAAATTCCTCTTGCACTCGGTAGCGCGGAGTATATTAGTCAGTGTGAAGGGACACGCTTCAAGAAAAGCACTTGTCTCAATGCTTTCGAAATATCTGTTCTTTTCCTATGGTGTGCAGTAATTTAATTCCCCACATAAATCATTTCTCGAGAATCAATGGAAGCATGGCGGAACTGGTAGATGGGAAAGTTCAAAGACCTTGTTCCACCAGAATGATTGTGAGAATCATGCATAAGCTATTGTAATAGACCCATATCATGCGTTGTATTATTTCTAGGTGTTATTGAACATTTGGTAGTTGCGCCTTCTGATTAAATTCATGATCTTAACATAAACAGCTGCCTTCAATCGTTTTACATCGACCTTTGGGATTGTTAACAGTCGCCTCTTTAGTGGGGACAATTTGAGTCAAAGATTATCCGCTCTCCTTTAAACTGTGGGGTGGATGCAATCGCTGTACAGCTGTCCATACTGCAATATATGGGCTAAAGTGGAGTTTGATGCCTAGGCTGATGGACTTCCGCAAATTGGATTACATATCAAAAGTGATGGGACAGCTAAGTTGGATAAATAATTTCCATTTACGCTGAAGGGTTCACAACGAATCTAGTGTACTTCTGAGCAGAAGTTCTAACTTTAAGGATTCGGGCTGCATGCATGTGTACTTGGTTAAGGCCAGTTACCGCAACATATACACTGCAGTCTCCGGTTTGGTAAAAGCTGCACCCCATCTCTAGGTTAGCGATATCATTTGATTACCCGAACACTCCCTTTTCGAATGATCGAAAAAGGTGAAAAATGGCAATGAAATGTTTTGGAGGAAAATAATTACGCGCATACACAAAACACACGATTGCATTCACAGTGAGTGAGTTTTCGATGCAAGGTTGCTCAGCACTGTGTGTGTTTGGTAGTTGCATAAGAAGAATGAATACCAGCAGATATTTCTTGAGCTAGAGTCAGACGAGTCTATCTGATCACTTTTGCTAAAGACCCGCATCACCTATACAGCCCACAGTACTCACTACGTAAACGACAGCAATGTAGTATTGGTCGCAGAAAACGGTCTCCTAGGTTACGTCCGACATTGAAGACAAGCTGACCGATGGAGCTGTTATGAGCTTCAGCCGCAACCTATAGGCAGTAGTTCGAAGCGGCTAAATATTGTACAAGTGTTGTAGGTCATACTTGAATTGATAGCCTGTCACTAGCAACACACCCAAAGAATGGAAAAATATATAATGCAAGCAACGGTTTACTAAATTTGGTTGAGCTCCGCAGCTCTACAGGTAGCCAGTTGCTGTTTATGGTGTCAAGGCAGTCCTATGCATGAAAAGAGAACCTTCGAAAAGCAACTAATTAGGCCGAGTGAAGCAAGGCTTGCTGCGCTTCGGTTAAGATCAGTAAGGTATTATTATTTGATGTGTGTCCTTTTGTATACGACATTGTTTATGTACTAAGACCAAACTGCAGAAGGGAATTGAAGGGGCTTTAAGGAGAAGTTGCAACTGGGCTGCAAATGTTGTTGTAGTAGTGAGGTGAAATGGCAGCCACTTGGACTGACTTTTGGAAACAACTTTATCGTGGGAGATAGGCCAACCGCGGCCGAATGTTTTCCAGGCTAAGCAATTCCTGCAAATGAGGAGAAAGCCTTGTAATGTCATAAAGTGTTAGTAACCGTTAGAGCAGATGGATGACATAGATTTTCTGAAATCCACACGCTGATAGTTAAAGCCATTTATTTACTAAGAATCTTTTGTAACCAATGTGGTCTCTGGAGTCATTCCATCGCTTATCGGAATGAAATGCCGCCAACACTAATGTAGTTGACACGAGAGTTATCAACAGCACGCTCTGTGTTCATTGGTCTTAGAAAAGCATCCACCGTTTCCCTGATTTCAAGTATTCAAATAATCCACGTGTTTGAAATGTTTGCCATCTTGAGTAGACTCGTTTAATGACTCGAACTTTGGTCACAAGATGTTCCGACAATTGTGAAAACAATCCGTTGTAGCCAGAGCTCAATCCAGGCATTCCAATCTCGACTATAATTTGCTACCACAAGTGAACTGTTATCACATTTCTGATACCTTATGTATAAACCTCGTTTTTCCAGTGGGATACCGATTACATCTATGATAGGCAAGATGGCAAGTTATCTGCTGCTGCAGTCGCATTACTAAGATTTTCAGTCAATTACAATTGAAGGATGGACTGCGATCTGCAGTTTTTCTAGGCGCCAAGATTTTGGTTCTTTAGAGAACTTATGATGCTCAAACTCTGTTGGTATCTAACTAATAAAGTTGCTCAATCACTTACGGTAGGAGAATAGGTAAAAACAAGTTTCCGGACAATGCATGATGATGTTCTGCTTGTGTTGCTCTTTGCTTAAGCCAGCGCTGTTGTCAGTCTGTTGAGCGGCCAAGCAAAGCATCCAAAAATACCTGTTCCCAACAGACCTACGGAAATAAGTTCAAACTTCAACTCTTAGTGCCATTGTCCAAAAGAACATAGACTTAAAATGGTCTGAATAAGCTAGACCTTGTCATCCAATACCCTTATCTCACCCTCTATCCGAATAATTGCAGGGCGCAGTGGCTAAAATTTAGTTGCCGTACACTCTACTCTCTCACTTTGAACTTCGAATGAGTCGCATGACAGCATAGCCATTGTTGTAGACTCCACTTCTACCAGGTGGTGGATATTTTATGCTGAATAGAGCACATTATTCCATGTTGACGGTGTTTGCGCAATGTGCTATTAATTTACAAGAGCGTTACGATCATCCATTTTGTAAAATAGAAATAATAGGTTTGCTGCAAATCGAACAATGGGAGTGATTGCTCGTTTGCAACACTGGACCTTCGCTACAAAATGCATATGCATAACATGGAATCATGAAGTAGGGTAAGGCTGTATCACGACAGTGCAATTGTTAAAACCTTCCATTAACTCACTTTTTATCCATTCGATGCGTAACACTCTGTGAGGTATTTTAATCACTTAGTTTGGAGGACGTTCATGTAAGTTAAAGATCCCCTCCGTGAGGCTTGAAGTCTCTGTTTTCACTCACAAACTGCACAGTATCTCCACAAATAATGACAACATCTATAACACTGCCATTCGCGAAAATACCAAGGCCAGACGATGAAGGTGGCATGCTACAACATCCACTTGTTGAAAACTTGAAGTGTTCGGCATCGAAAGGACCTGCATTTTACGTTTACATTCCGAAATAAGAGACATCTTTTCTCAAATGTGATGTCAATCCACAAATTCCATTTCCCTCTTTGGATCCGGCTTTGGTAATCTAGTCAACTGAATAAAAATTGTCAAATTTCTCAAATTTATATTCGCTAAGCCCGTATCATTTCTTCAGGTGGATCTGCGAAGTATTTGTATTAAATGAACCGAGTAAGTGTATAACAGCGGTGGATGGAAGTAGCGTAATATCATAGTTGGGGGCATTCATTAAAAGAGCCAATGGGAAGATTTTCTAAAACGCTTAATTTTGGTCCCAATTATACACAAAATTTTGGCATCTTCTTTGATACGTTTGGCTTCATCTACTAAGATAAGCCGTTTAGCTAGGCAAAATTAATTGTACTGGTATTTTTTTAAAGTCCACCAGCACAGCTTATTGTCGTTTACATTTTTTATGCCAGGATCAGTTTCTAAAAGCACCAAACTCATTATGTGCCAGAAACACACAAAATTTAATTTAGATACATAAGGTACAGTTTCTAGGGTATTTTATGCATTACATGGTACACCTTCACTAAATATCTCCTTTAGATGAACTGTAGACGAGAAATATTAAGAAAACTTTTGAAAATCTCCAAAGCAGGTGACAGAACTAGGTACACTGTAGCTTCATGACGTGACTAAAGATATTTCAAATAGGCGGGATTTATTTGGGATAGGGCTGATAATTGTAGTTGATCCGCTTTTAAAACGTTTACTTAGGAAATATAGAAGTTATCTTCTAGACGTTGTAATCTCTCGCATATCTACCTCATGACATACGCCGATATCGATGTTGAACTATACAGAAGTAACGTAAAATGGGCTATTGCTCGGTAGCTATCGCTGTGTGACACGCTGATTTTTTCCATGCCCTCTTCTCTGCTATCTTTCTTTGAAACGGACAATATTTATTAAGGGCACGCGTGTAATCAACATGCTGTCACTGGTATACACTATTTGCTGAACCTTTTTACTGCGTTCGTTTCCGAAGCACATGGATAGCCGATCCGTAGCTTTAAGGTTCACAAGCCCGCCGTTATAAGCTGAGGGTGCGGGTTCGATAACGCGAAGCGACCGGGCGACAATCGCAATATCCCTATCCCACGTGCAAGTGGTTTTGATTGCGCGGCAGCGAGGCGTAGGTACCGTGTACTGGCGTACTGCTGATGCCTATTTTCCACACGGAGTGGATACTAAACTGATCCCATCATCCGGAAAACAATGTTTACACCGCAAGGGCTCTCTCCCCACAGTACCAACCGTGTCCACCGTGTCTTCGATATTTGCTGTTACAACCATAAAGTAGATTGCAAAAATGACAACAACATTATTGTGTTAAGTTCGCAAGCTTCGAGTAGCTTTACCGATTTCGCACCCAGACATTACTGACGATTTTTCTTAAGCAATGCGATTATTAACTAACAAGAAAACAATTCGATTGTAAGTACGAAGATGCTTTACGACATTCGGATCTTTGTGGTCAAGCCTGGGAAGAAATTTGTTCAACAGTGAGAGGACAGCAGTAAAAGGCTATTAATAGAAAGTATGAACAGTACTTCCTTACTACACGCAATTCACATGGGTTGCCGCGTTTTTGCGACACAGGCGTCCCTCAGTGGGTGGTTGAATGCAGCGCATGACTCGTCAAAGTGACACTGAACCCAAAACAGCTGCCATGCATAGATTGAGTAGAAACGAAGCCCCCCAATACCAATGAACCCGACTGCTATTAGCCGCATGTACAAAAACAATATTTGCTCGTATGGTTTTGGGAGAAAGCAGAGATTAGCATGTTGACAGACGCCATGGTTTACGACATCCGGTCTCGGATTTACCTATCATTGTGGCCAGCCACAGGAGGCCTGCGCCTACAAAGGGACCATGGGTGACTTGCACTACACCACCCATAGTTCCAAACACACCCATATCCAGTGTAAACCCGAAGGAATAAAACCGGGAGGCATGCGGATGGGAGCCACCTTTCATCAGCGGAGCTGGCCCACACTCCTTCACAGGCAAACACAAGCACACTGTATTTGGGGAATCCAAAGCGCATAAGGCGGTGACTGGACGGTAGTCCGCTCCACACTGAGTGCGTGGAACCGCTCTTCGAGTCTAACACTGCCAAAAGGACCGTGCACCCCGTCCTCTCCAGCAACGACCAACTGTCTCCTGGACCTAGTATGGACGAGGTAGTGGGTAATAGACCGGTAAGCACCTTATAAACATGCACATCAAGTGCAGCCACACCGAGCATATCAAGCAACAGTCAATCACTTGAAACAACAGGATGAAATAAAATAAATCCAATAATGCATACAGATCCGGTGGCATAACTCTTCGCTAAGTTAGCATATGAAGTAAGTTGGTTAGCAACGAATCCGTGATAAAGAAAAGATGTCCACAAGTTACCTAAAAATGCTACACACACCACCAAATTATCGAACATAAGCGCAATTAGCGTAAGCAACGTGGCCAGTTAATAGATGATTATTCAGGTAGGCAGAACAAACCAAATAAAGTGGAATACGATTTATCCATCTTAAAAAGATCTGGTTTAAGTGTAAGTTGTTTTAGCCCAACTGCGGTGGAGAAGCATCACGGATGCAACATCAGCCTCAGCATGGGGCACAGACGCCATAGAGCTTGAATAAAGGTCTAGTGTTTTTCGATTGAGTTACGAGCCTGCCACCTAGTTTCACCTGTTTCAATGTTCCGTCAAACGACTTGTCTAGCAGTGGGCATCTCAGAAATCTGGATAAAAGCTGTTAGCACAAGAGGACGATGGTTGGACGATACTCTTCACAATGTGATGCGTCTGCCGCAACAAGTTCGACTCGGTACCAAGGCGAATAGCAAGTGGAACTAAATTCTGAGGCGGACTATTATACTAACTTGCAAGTCCGAGCTCTGTGACAGTTGTGAGTTGCAGTCTGAAGTAATTCTTTTCCATTGAGTAGTAGCAAGTTGAGTGTGGAATTTGGCTCTAAAAGCATTTTCACCCCGGGGGTCAGAAATCTTTGCCGCCCATCCTGGTCCACGTGTGTAAGAACGATTGTGGTCACTTCCGTTCTCCTGGGCAGAAGGAGTAGCTTGTGCAAAACTGTGGACTGCTTAAGTCGTGAAGCATTGCCGAGGGCTGGCCTATCGTGCAGATTTCTCCTGACGGCTTGTAAATGTGCGTTGCTCATCATAAATACGATGAGTTTGAAGACCTCACCACTGGCTGAGTAAATGCGATGGAGTGGAGAAGCTTTAAGTAAATTAATAGCCATTGCAATATCAGCAAACATATATAGTTGAATAAAGTAAAGATCATCAGCCACATGGAAACGCTGGTTGCGTCCTATCCAACTGCAAGCATGGGATCTTGTGATAATCTAAACAAACCTACAGTGGGTTTGGTACATTTACTGCAAGGACAGCGTTAACTGGATACATCTAGCCAAGAATGAAACATCAAATGGCGGTTGTTACAAATGAAATGTTTTTCAAAAATACACGGCTTACAGAGAACATTAATTGAAATGAAATAATGGTGTTAAAGTCCTCTACGGGCAATTTGCAATTAATATTTCTCACAACTGAAACACAGAGAGTGAGTTGGGTCATACGAGAAATCTCAGAAAAGGAGCATTGTATACGAAGAATATATATGAGTAGCTCAGAGTCGCTACCTTTTTCATGAATCAGGGCTGAGCAAAAACGGCATAAAGGCATCAAAATAATTGGCCTATGAAGAGAGTTCTACTTACACAGACAAATATTCATAACTACAGCCACTCGATGTAGCAACGTCGGACAGATCTTCAATCAACTTCTGGGTTGCCTCCAACACAATTGTTGTTCAAAAAGCTCAGCTGCTTTAACATCAGCACAGTAGTTACTCACGCAAACCCATATAATGGCATACAAAATGTGTTTGAACTTGTTTATTAAAAAAGTGGTTATATGTCAAAAACTTGAGCTAAAATAACATATATACCTTCGTAAGTCAAGCCCAATCGGTCAACCACCTCAGGTCTTGAAAGAACCAACATCATCCTCTATCCCAAACCCAAGGACCATGCAGTACGCTGTACGAAAATAACCCTGTTGCACGGTGGAGATTAAGTTCCGTTATCGGGTGCAACAGCGATAGATGGATTCATGCTCCGCTGCTATTTGACATTTGTTCCTGCGGACTACGGAATTTATCCGCAGCTCCACAGAAACCTACGTTATTCCGTTACTAAACTTATATCGACTTAGTTCAGCCGTAACACGAAACCGAAAGGCGCCAAGGGTATCCGGATTTGGAGTAACCTAACTCAATTATTCCAAATTTAACCGGATGATTTCTCAGTTCTATAGTTCGGTGGTAATTTTGTTATTTCGTTTAATCAGAGTTATCAATTGGCCCAAATCCTTAATAACATAGACTGCACAAACCCTTCTTGGATGGCAAATATTGCTTTCCGATAAGCCGGGTCTCATAAGTTTTTTTAATAATTAAGCGGTCAGTAGACGTTTTTACCTCGATTTGCGTAGTTAAAAAACTAAACCAGATCATATTTTTCTTTTACGCCGCTAAACGTTTGAAGCTGTCCGCTCCCTGTACTAGTTCACGAACAGTGCACCTTTGCAGATTGGTAGCAACAGCTCATGTTCATTAAATCAGAGCTAAAAGCTGAAATCAAGCAGTACGCGAGACGAGCACGAGCCGATTGCAGATGTGAATGGTCTCCAGGGAACAGACTGGTAGAATATTCGTTTATTAGTCTGGCTGAGAATGCGATATTAAAAATCGGTCAGGTAACCCAATACTGCCGATAAGACAGTACAGTGGAAACGAAGCCAAAATCCAACTACTATAGATAGCTCCTACTTAAACTCACAACCTTAAAGTGGCAAAAATACTTTGTCATTGCGGCTATCAAGTTCTGTTTTGTGGAATCTCATAAACCACAGCCATATCCGATTGACTACTAATCTTTTCCCGCGAAAATGAATTATTTTCAGCTGTAGTCTTTCCCAGTTGCTAGCGCTAAAATATTAATCTTCTAAACCGGTAGCGATTACCAAAGTGAAAACAAAATAACTTACCATGCCGTTTGTTCCGTAGGTAAAAATACCGAGTCGCAAGAAAGGGCATACATAGGCAAACCCCGCCTAGAAGTTGTGGCCCACTGGTTCCATTTGAATGCTATTTCGCAGACAGCGTGGCTTAAAATGCACTCTGTGAGCTGGTTTGACTGTTGCCCGATTACAGTTTTACAATCTGCCCCATTCCACACAATTAACGCATAGGTACCAAATCTAAAAAAACGGAATGAACACTGATTAATAAGGTAGACGGAACCAGCACAAAATTCAGCCACTTCGAATGAATTCGACCTAGATGCTCGCCGTGACAGTAAGTTATCCAATTTCATGCTGGTATGATATTTGAAGCTGTGCATCACATCCTCCTCACACAATCATCAATTCGACAGCCCAAAACACCAGTGAATCCGTGATCACCAATGTTATCTTCTTCGGTATGGTTAAGGATTTTCAGTAACCTAGAATATTGCGAACCATTTGATCTGTTATTGGGATTGTCAATTCTCGCCGATACCGTCCGCACGACATAGATGTTTGGTGCACTGTGGCAATCATTTTACAAAAAGGGGTTATTTTCTCCCGCAAATGTCTTGCAGCCGCAAACTCGCTAGTTGCTGCTGTTGGGTTCAATCCAGTAAACACTTTTAAAAGTTAATTGTGATCCATTTGTCTAGTTGAAGGTAATTTGATTTGTAATACCGATGTTTTGGGTTTGACAAATTGATGTTTTTCTAAGAGATATTGTCCCCTCAAGCACAGTGGTTTGCCGGGAAATATGTCCTCTGATTAGTTCATCAATGGATATGCAATCTGTTAGTAGAATACAAGACGATAGCAAAGGTTAGGTAGTTAAAGGAAGATGTGCCAACAACTTAAGCTTTGGCACAGCTATACGGTTGCGGTTTGTGCATCTATGCTTATTGGTCACGTAGAGGTTGAGTACGATCCAAATAATGTGTCTACTGCTTAATTGTATGTCTAGGTCCCATAGATCAACCGAACGAGCAAGTGTATTACTGAAATATTCTAATGACACTATGGAATATCAGGTAAAGTTCCACAATAAGAAAATGGGGTTTGCAGCCTCATACATCAGGGATATTGGTTGGTTAATTCAAGAAACCGCAAATAACACATTCTAATGCTTACAATCGATTGACCAAGAATAGGCCAACGAAGCCATGAAGAACAGATATATCCTATATGAATGTAACCTAAATGTTGCCGAATTCATGTTGAATGAGGCCACATAAAACGTAACAGAGGAGCAGGATAGCACTCAATTAAATGAATTGGTTTAGTTAGACCAGTGATTTATCCAAAATTGGCAGCCATTGTTCTGAGCAATCGAACAGTCCTGTCATTGTACACACAACATATCAAACGGTGCATTCTCTCAAAAACGTATAACATGTGCCGGTCAATCCAGACACCAAGAGTTTAATCGGATGACTGACATAATTATTCACTTCCATGTTAGTCAAAAACAAACGCTTAATTTCAGTCAGCCATTATAATAGAGCTAGCACAAACAAGTAAAACAACAGGATAACTGTTTCAATTTGGCAACACATGTAACCGTACAATTTACAAATTTGCAAAAGAGAAGTTACTTTTTCGCAAGGCATAGTGCATAGTGCTTGCCTGACCATGAAAAATCTACGAATTCCTTTTGTGACGAACAAATAAGGAATGCAGTTCGGTACACAAGTGCTTACAAGATAAACATTTTCAATATGTTTTATTTGATGTATCTCGGAGTTTACATCGTTAAGCTGTTGACGAAATACGAATATAGTAGGGTCAACGATTCGGTTATTTAGAAAAGCATCCCATGGATGAATTATGGTGCTAACAACGATTCCTTTGACTTTGCATCAGGCCATACAGCTTGGTTCACTGATGGCCTCACCGTGTGGCTTAAAAGCAAGTTGTTGTGTCCTGTGACAAATTTGTCTTCGTTTCTTTAAATCTTTGGCGTTCCCACCGGAACCGGCTCCGTTCGCTGTCCATTCCGAGTGACTGTGTTGTGAACTGATATGAAAATCAAATACACCATGCCAGCCCTCTACCCTTCCATGGAAGTGTTCTACACCGTGCACCAATCATGACTGTCAATCTTTGAGCCTATTCTCCACATGTTGTATTAAGTAAATGCTAAGCATCTTCAGATATTTAAACTTTCAAAGCATCTAAACGTCTAGTATAAGAGACCGATGGTGTGATTTCAGGACTTCAGCCAGTCCATAACTGTTCGAAGCATCGGAAGCCATCTTGAATCGTGGCCGAAAATTCTGGGTAGTGGTAGTATTTTTGCAAACATTTTCCAATGAACATTACTCTGTTCGGTAGCAAACACACATAAAGCGCCTTGATATGTCCGCAGCAAAATGCTACGGTTTCCGTTCCTTCTTCAAGAACTTTCCCCAAGTCAATATGTCGTAGCCCATACCTTACACATCACTTACTAGCAAAAACAAATACATTAGTAGTTTCGACCTGCACTGAACTATGGATGAATCGGCTGAAATACTAAAACAGTTTCCTGCAACCATCACTGAAAGAGTACTTTGACAACTCCATTGACAGGATGCCGCGATCCATGTAAAACTTTAGAAGAGGCAAAAGAGATGCGATTGCATCCTGATCCTTAGATGACAGACCTCTAGCACCTCACCATGCAGTACACCCTCGTCTCAGCGGCGATGGCATCCACGAATCCTGACAGAACAAAATAGATGCCTGATTGGAGGGTCAAGTTTGGACTACACGTTGTGTGATTGGATTGCGACGCGCAATCTCAATGTAATGGACTGTGGTTATTAGTGGGTTCCAAACGCCCACTATCCATTACAGTTTACACAAGGATATGAAATTACTGCATGGGATAACCGTTTTGTCACAAAAGTGCCTGTGAAAGTATCACAACGTAGCTTGAGTTGGCTGTGCAGCTTTCACGTAGTGTGCACTGGGGTAAATCTCATCAGCTACATAGAAGCTGCGAGCGGGTAGATGAACTGACTTTTCAAGGTAAACTGCACATTAAAAGTCACACTGACATGTTATGATAGTAGAACATTAAATGTAGGAACGTGACGTCTCACCGAAGCACATGGATGTACTTCATCCTACAAATGTATAGCGGAGGTCGCTGCTTAATGCTTTACTTCTATTCGTCTGCTTGACAGTGTGAGAATAACTGACTATTAGGAATTTTAGCACTTACACATAGTGATTTAGCTTTTTTTAAAAACGTTATAACCGGACACTGTTGCTAGACTACTTTCTCTTCATCAACAAGCAAGGCTTTGAGGATAAACTCAAAACGTATGCAGGATTAGAACATAAAACGGGAGCGCGGCGAGTCAACTACACATCGGCCGCTGAGTATCAGGCCCAGATTTGAAATAAAGTGAGTGTTGTTGTCAACCGAAGACCTTGGCAACTAACCTACTTGTAGTAAACTTGCCGAAATTGCTAACCAGCCTTCACAAATTACCTTCAACAAAGCCATTTTTTAGACAGTTCCAGATAATTGCCCTGGAAGCTTCAGTTAGAAAAGCTTGGTTTGGGAATATATTTATCAGCTTCGTGTGTGTATTCTGTGTGACAGCGAAACCTAGTTCAATTTTTGTCAACTCTAAGTAATCTATGTAAGTACATGAGGGTTACCTACAGTTTGCTTACCACCGTGGAGATAGTGAGCGAATTTCTACCAATGTACAGGGAAGCGTTTATGCTGAACTACTTCAAGATTACTTTAAACCGTTCACTCAGGATCTGCATACTTTTAAAATGGTGTTTACTAAACCATCATGAAAGGTAATACCGCTATATTTTCTGACGTGTGACCCACTTTAATCAGAATTTTAGGTGAACGTTCATCTCTCGAGCAAATTTTGGTGAGAATAAATGTCTCCCATAGCTGTGTACTTGGGTCTTAATATTACACTGCAATAGAGCATGTAAACATTCATTGTATTACAGTCATTCTTTGAACCACGCGGTGTGGTGGTACAGCATAACCTTACCTATTTTGCCAGGACGGTCGTTTCCGATGAGCCACTTTTACTTTATCGCAAATACCGTGCCGTTATCGTCAGCGTGTTCATCGAGGTCACCAGTGTCTGCTATCCGACAACTTGGATGAAGGCCTACAAGCCTACAAATTACGCGAATCGCCAATGAGTTGAATTAACGCTTGAACTATGACTAAATGCATAATCCAATTCTCAGGCAGTTGTCCATCATACGTTTAATGTATCCGGAGTTAATATTACACACAGTTGTCGGAAGTGTACGTGAGAAATAGTTTTACTGGCGTATTGTGCTACACACAGAGTAACCACCGAACTCACCCATGCCCAAGTAGAACACGGTAACAGCATCAAAGCCGAGGGTTGAGGGTTCACATGAGGCACACAGATGTGCAAGCGGCCTCTCGATGAAACGAGGATCTTCCCTCATTACGTTTAACTGAGAAGGTAAGGAGAGTAGAGCCAGCGCTTGGCCCCCGAATGGATAAACTGAGTCGGCCAGCATTGGTGCCTCAATCGCCAAAAGACGTTTGTTACTCGATGGTCCAGGACACTGTGACAGTAGGGATCACATATTTTGGATCAATGATATGAGAATAAACTTGCATTTATCCACTCAGATTGGCGGGAAACTTTATTTAGTATGCAAGCAGAGACATTTTCACACAACTTGTTAGAAGTGCGACTTCTCCTCTAGTAGAAGACGTTGAAAGATCAACAATAGTGTGGGCATTGTTTCGACGAAGTGGCTATGCACAAACGTAAGAGGATTTGTGGCATTTCTAGCTGACGATTGCCCTGATAAATGCAATCACAGCAGGTGCTAACAAATGTGTTATCACAATCGACATGATGGGCCGGAACCTACATGAAAGATAATATGTGGAGTGCATGGAGGTCTTTAAACAAGGCGACAAAAACAAAAGATGCGTGATGGCTACACCGATATCTCGAACAAAGCAACTTTCCAATGAACCTTATTTAATGAGAAAATGTGATAACCGTCGGAGCCTAGCGAGTTAATCCTTAGCGTTATTGTTCATCGATTAATGACGATATGGTTGCATTCGCAATTCTGAGAACAGTTAGTGTGTCACTGGAATCATAGCGAAAAAAGAGGCAAAAATAAGCAAAAAACCAATTGCAATTATTTTGGTGGTTCACATCCGTTCCTTTGAGTTGTTGCATTGTTTTTCGAATGAGCATTGAAAACCTAACACTGATCCACTTAGGATAGTTACAATCTTGTCGGTTACATCATGCCACAGCATGCAGTTCTACAAAGCAAATCAAGCCATTAGGTTGTTCTTCTTGGTAGAATTAAGGAATTTCACTCATATGAACGTCAACGACGCAGTCACTTCGAGAAACTCAACTTAGATCATGAATTTTTCTGCATTATTCAAGTTATGCGCATCTACAGATTGTACTGCTGCAACTTTTAGAAGAAGTGGAAGCACGTGAGTGTGTCGAACTCTTAAGTGATTACTCAGCTGCCATTTGGAAATTGATATATTGGAATGTTCTGTACTGAAGTGTTAACCCAGTAAACACGCAGAGAAAGAAAATCGCTGGCATCCGCATAATCGGCGAGTGAAGGTGTCCTATCCTCCAATATTGAAATTTGTTATGATTTATGGACTATATTCCTAAGTCAATGAAATATTTTCCAGGTTTCACAAGTCATAATATTGGCTAACCCGTTAGCATCGCCAGTATTTTAACTGCTGTGGCGGTTATAAAGAAATTAACTGTACCCGTGGCCGCTCCATACTAGTGTAAGGAATGTCACTCTAGTGTCATACACACGCCGATCTGCCTGGCACGGAGGTCACCACACTTTAGGTGTAACACATTTATTGTGGTACACGGAGCATCGTTCTCAGTGAAAGCTTCGCTAAGGGAAAATCTTGAATAACTGCTCAGATCTGGCAAGTCCAATGCTAGGTAGCTCTACAGGTTCAAACGCTATCCACTCTCCTTGCCCAAAAGGTAGCCCTAACTGCTAAGAAATCAACCGATCTGTGGTTGTTGTCTCTACTACTACTTTTACAATGCCGAAAAAAGCGAACCCGAACAATTTCCAACGCGACAAAACAGTATACCAACAAAGCCAAATACGAACTGATTAAAAAAAGAAGTAGGACCTCACGTCTGTTATTGTTTCCAATCCACCTGACTGAGTTCGGCGAATTCTGTGGACTCTATTCGTACATCCGAACTTCCACAAGTTAGCTGGTACGCTCTCCGAAGCATTGAAATAAGATGTGGTCTGATTGAAATAACGTGAAAGAGCTGTGGGTAGCGTAGGTGGACGGATTTTGATCAGATCGCTTGAGTGAATCACCCTGTTGATATCAGAAAGTCTGAATGAGCACAAGGCAATTGGGCTTCGTATTCCCAACTCATTGAGAAGAAATGGGATCGCCGGATCAGTGGCCGAAAACAAGCCGTAGATTGTCGAATCGTCATGCAAAATTGTGGAAGATAGGTAGGCCTGCGTCATAGCAAGCATATAATTGAAATATAACTTTCTTACCCTGAAGTCAAAAAGGGGAAGCGGGAAGTGCTAATTATTAGACCCCGTACACCAGCAAGCATCATGTACTTATACAATCGAATGCAGGAATGCAGCATTCAGTGAATGAGCATGAGTGAGTGCGTCGGTCATGCGATGAAGCATCAAATGGAACAAGTGTTTATAAAATGCAAAATAAAAAGTTATCTGTCCCTAGGATGGAAACAGGAAAGACTGCCAGTGCAATGATTACATATATGCAAAAAAGTAAACGGCATCCCAGTCAGTGAACATAATAAGAAGAGAATGGAAGCGTGGTTGCGGAAATGATGTGGTATCATACAAAGAGAATTAGCAGATTAGTTTAACCAATGCTCCTTTAAAGAATGACCTGCTTGCACACTCGACTACATGAATCTCCATTCAAATGTTGGGGCGAAAGATCCAAAGAACGTTCACTTTACTACAGATTACTGGCTTGACATAATAAATTGCGGGAAGTTAGCAAATGTTGATAGTTCATCCCACGTAGAATCATTAGTAACGCCACTCTGTGTTGTTTAGTAAAGTCGCAGTTAAACGCGAGGGTTGAAACTAAGCAGGGGTGTATTGACAATCCATCACCAATTTCTATTTGCTTGAAAAGAATAACTTTCTAAATCCCATCATTGAGATTATGCCACGACTGGTGCCTAATTACAAATGGCATCTCGTTGGTATTCAACTACAATGATGTCAAACCATTGGGGAAATCAAGAATACATTCTTGATTGATGACGAGCTGTAACCCATCAGCTCAAATCGGTGGCATAAAAATGATGCATGCCTGTATGACACGAAGTTAAACTTGCTAACTCACTTCAAACAATATTTGCCCGTAAGTGATTACGTGCACAGACACATTCGGCTAAAGCTTCGGTAAAACATGTGTATAGAGGCCAAATGCAATGGGAGCAGGACGAAATCCGGCGAGATGGTACATTGAAAATGAGCACTGCGGCCCCTCAGGTCAAAGAAGGAAGACGAGACCATTACTTACACCTTATCGCCCGATTCCGTTGTATTAGCCCCAAAATGTATGAGCAAAGACAGATTAGAAGCGACCACTTAATGAACTTACCTATTCGAACTGGAATATTCACTTTCTCCGGAAGATACAAAGTAATCCAAATTGCAGACAAGACGAGTTTTAAAAAATGAAGTGAAATACAACCCCTCCTCGTTTGGTAGCTTGAGTCCAGGGTCCCCAGTGCATATTCTTGCGATGTGTGTATACACCACCTGCGAAAAGCACAAGTGTGTAAAGCTGATATGTAAGCGTAATACTAAAATACTTGGCTAAAATGAAGGCATTCGGTGCTCACTAGAGCCTGGGTAGGCATTAGTGAAGCATGTTTTCTGAGTAGTGTCCATTCCAATGCAAATTCGCCTATTGTGGTTTGATATGTTTGAGTCGGACGGGGCTAATACCTCTAATGATCTGGGATAAGCTGCAGTATCGTTAGAAGTATCAGTGATCTATAGTGTTTGGCTGAACGATAATTCACTAATGCACTTAAAGCACTGTATAGAAATGCTTAGAAAACAACCGCTGCGTAGGATAACAATTTGTCTGTCTGCGTTGGTGTGACGGTGTTGCGCTTTAACTTTACAATATGTAAGAATTACAATTGTCTCTTAGGACTGGGTCGATGAACGACGTAGAAAATCGCACAAGTACGCACATCCTGATGGAAAGAGGGGCTATACCGATGATGGAGTTAGGAGTTGCTGGTAAAGCGACTTCCAAAGAGCACTGGTTTGCTGCGTCACGTCTGCATATGATGGTAGTTCCCTTTTGAAGTTAAAAGCCCTGGGACCTCTGTGTTGTTGCTAAGACATTCGGTGACTTCATTGTCAGGATCGGAATTGTTAGCAGACGCTAACTAGATTATTTTGAGGAATTGCTCGGCAAACAACTCACTAGACTAGCAAACATTATCAGTTAGAGACTCGTAACTACCAATAGTGTCCTTCCAATCGTCAGCCAAATTTCCAACGGAATTACACCCGTCACCATGTCAAGGCAACAAAATCATAGTATCACAGGCCCGATGTATCAAAGTGCAAAGTGCTTGATCTGCATTGCAGTACACTGCATATTAGTGTTGGATGCTACAATTCAGAAGACTAGTTATTTGGTCAGGAAGGTTTAGATAACACACAACTTGCATCCTTATATAATGGAACTGATGCAAAATAAATTCCAATGAAACCCAAGGCTATTTTTAGCCTAATCACCAAATAGACCATGGTGACAAGTCTATTTGCTTTGAAAAGTATTAAATGATAGTTTCGCAGCGGTTACAACGTCTGAATAAATGAAAAATTTGCGATTATTGGTAGAATTTGGGGCGTAATGTTATAAACGAAGAGAATGCTTGAAGGCGCGCTAGGTGTTGGTGCTGATGAGCTACTCATGAGTAGTCAGGCTAAATGGGTTTGAAAAGTTGGCACCCTACGACACAGGTAAATTAATGCGACTACAAATCGGAGACACAGTAGAAGCCAAAAGCAGTTAGTTAATCCACCAGAAACTCATCTCCTTCATCACACGCAAGCTGTACTAATGGTAAATTGAAACGGAGTAGCGACACCAACTAGCTTCGGCAAAGGTTACCGAAAGCACACAACATTGAAGCAATTCTCAGGGCGATTCTGTCCTTGGTGAAAGAGTAGGGTGAATAGTAATCATTAACTAGAAAAATGGATTATTTCGTAATGCTTGGTGGAACTGCACGTTACTGGTAACAGCTAATCTCAATGCAGGGCTAATGTTTTCAAATAAGCCACATAGATGGAATTTGTTTAACTGGTGTCCATTTACATCAGTCCTGTTTAGATAGAGTGATTAACCGTACGCTCCGAATGGTCATCACCAATTTCAGGTTGTTAAAATAGCCCTGATATAGTGTAGGGAAATTTCAGATCTAGTTTCAAGGCTACAATGCACTGCCAATTTGCAAGGCCGGCGACGGTTGGCTCACTGAACCACATGTTACGAATTAGCGGTGGGAACCGCATGTACCTGTCAACTTCCATGTTCTAACCGTGCTTAAAACTTACTGAGGTAAATGAGTGCCTCAAAGTTGTTTGTATATTATTATTATTAACTAAGTGAGCATAGCCCGTTTGATCTCACCGTGTAATTTACGAGAAATCGAGGTAACTGGTTGTTTATATAAGTTTTACAGAAGCAAACTAGCACGTTGTCTCACCTAGAAGCTGAGCATTTTATGAAAGATAACAGAGTAAATCCACCCGAACGCA